TCGTGAACAGGTCCACCTGGGGAATTCCCCACTCTCGGAAGAGCTGTTGAGTGACCTCTGAGTGGAGTGACCACTCGTAATGGGGGGAGAAAACCCTGCTGAGACGATCGGCCTGTGTATTGCAGGCTCCCAGTAGGTGGAGAGCCCTGAGGGAGATGATGTGGGCTATACAGAATTCCCACAGGCTGAGGGCTTCCCGGCAGAGGGCCGAGGACCATGCTCCGCCTTGCCTGTTGATGTAGAACATCGCGGTGGTGTTGTCCGTAAGGACTCCAACCACCTTGCCACGAAGCTGCGTGATGAAAGCTACGCACGCCAACCGTATCGCCTGGAGTTCCCTGACATTTATATGGAGAGACAGGTCTGAGGTTGACCACATCCCTTGGGTTTGCATGTTCCCTATGTGGGCTCCCCAGCCCAAGTCCGATGCATCGGACACCAGGTCTATTGACGGGGCCACCTCCCGGAAAGGAACCCCTTGGACCATGTTGTCCGGCGAGAACCACCATTGTAGGGAGGCGATTACTGGGGTCGGTACCGTGAGAACCTTGTCCAGGCCATCCCAGGCCTGGGAGAACTGGGAGGCTAGCCATAGCTGGAGGGGCCTCATTCGAAGCCTGGTGTGGCGGACCACATACGTGGACGCTGCCATGTGTCCTAGAATCTGAAGGCACGCCCTTGCTGTTGTCCCCGGAAAAGTGGTGACCGAGGCGATGAGACCTTTGAGGGTTTCGAACCTGCTCACAGGGAGAGAGGCTGTGGCCCTTAAGGAGTCCAGTAGTGCCCCTATGAATTCTATGCGCTGCACGGAAACTAGCGTTGATTTGGTCTCGTTTACCAAAGGCTGAGATTGGCACATGTGGACAGGAGCAGGTCCACATGGGCCCTCACATGAGACCGTGAGTTGCCCTTGCTAAGCCAATTGTCCAGATATGGGAACATCTGGACCCGTTCTCGTCTGAGGTAGGCCGCCACCACCGCCATACACTTTGTGAATACCCTGGGCGCTGTGGATAGGCCAAACGGGAGAACCGTAAACTGGTAGTGGTCGGGCCCCACGAGGAAATGGAGGAAGCGCCTGTGCCCTCTGAAAATATGTATGTGGAAATACGTGTCCTGAAGGTCCAGGGCCGCATACCAGTCCCCCGGGTCCAGGGAGGGGATAATAGAAGCCAGGGACACCATGCGGAACTTGGAGCGGACCATAAACCGAATGAGATTCCGCAGATCTAGGATGGGCCTGAGACCCCCTTTCGCTTTTAGGATCAGGAAATATCGGGAGTAGAAGCCCCTGCCCTGGAATTCTACTGGCACTCTGACCACTGCCTCCAGATGTAGTAGTCGTTCCACCTCCTGACCTAGGAGGTGAATATGCTCCGGGTCCCCCGAGCCCACCAGGGATGGGGGGTGGTTGGGCGGGGGTGAACTGAACTGCAATGTGTAGCCGTTGGAAATGGTGTTGAGGACCCAGCAGTCCGAGGTTGTTCGTGACCATTTCCCACGGAAGGCAAACAAACGGTTGCCGAACACAAACTTTATTAGTAGGGGGGTTTCCATGGCAACTGCCTTCGTGCCCCTCTGCAAATAGTCAAAACCGCCTCTTTCCCTTAAAGGGCCCAGGCTGTGGGGCAGAGTGGGACTGTTGTTGAGGCCAGCGCTTTTGGTCTCTCGGCCTCTTGTAAAGGAGGCTCATATCTGCTCTGTGCAGGGTGAGCTGACGTCTGCGGTTTGGCCTTGTCCTTGACTGGAGGGACGTAGAGGCCCAAGGTCTGCAGGTGGTATGAGAGTTTTTCATCCCGTGCAGCCTGGCGTCCGTCTGCTCGGCGAACAGGGCCTTCCCATCGAATGGCAGGTCCTGCATGAGGCACTGGTCCTCCGCTGAAAGCCCTGACAGGAGGAGCCACGATGCCCTGTGCATGGAGATCGCAGAGGCCATCGACCGAGCTGCCGTATCCGCCGCTGCCTGCAGGGCTGCTTTGGCTGCCGTCGCCCCCTCATCCACCAATGCCTTAAAGTCCTTCCTATCCCGCTCTGGGAGGAGTGGCTTGAACTTTGGCAGGGACTCCCATAAATTAAAATCATATCAGTTCAGTAAGGCCTGATGGTTGGCCACCCTGAGCTGGAAACTCGAAGAGGAGTAAAGTTTTCTACCAAAAGAGTCTAGTCTCCTGGCATCTTTATTCTTGGTGGTGGGCGCGGGCTGGCCCTGCCGCTCCTGGTGGTTCACCGATTCCACCACCAGAGAGTTAGGTGCCGGGTGAGAGTATAGGTATTCGTGGTTCTTGGCTGTCACGAAATATTTCCTCTCAGCCTTCTTGGAAATCGGGGCCAGAGAGGCAGGAGTTAACCATAGGACGTTGGAGATGTTGGCTACTCCTTGGTGAAGGGGTAAAGCCACACGGCCCGGCAGCGAGGGGGACAGTACATTGAAGAGGGAATCGGATGGGTCCTCCATCTCCTCGGGCTGCAGCTGGAGGCTTGACATCACTCGCTTTAGCAGGTCTTGATGCGCCCTTAAGTCTTCCTGCGGAACAGAGGGCAGCGGTGCCATGATGGTATCATCTGGTACAGGAGAGGAGGCCGGCACGGGGCTGTGGGCTGCAGACGGTGCCGGGGGATCAACCCCTAGGTCAGAGTCCAGGTGTGGAGCCGACAACTCATGCTCTGTCGATTTGTCCCTTGGCCTAGATAGTGAGGCCGACGGGACCTCGGATGCTTCGGCCACTGAGCGGGTTCCCGCCTGGGTGGGCATCAGTAGCCACGGTGCCCACTGACACCATTGTCCCTGCCATGGGGCCCCTTGCCACTGTCCATGCTGCGGACCAGGTAGCGCTATCTGGTCTGGCTGATCGATACGGCCCAGCGAGGGGTGGCTGGGTGCCGAGGCCGAGGTCACCACCGACCAAACGGTACCATAGGAGCGGTGGAAGCGACAGTGCCTACGATGCCGTCTTCCACGGGACCGGGACCTTGACGTCAAGGACCGGTACCCCCCGGACGTACTGATCCGAGACTCGCTTCGGCACCTGGAGCTGCAGTGCCATGGTGCTGGTGACATGCATCGGGAGCCCCGTGTGTGACGTCTGACAGAGCGGGAGCGTCGACGTCTGTCGCGCCAAGACCGGCTACAATAGTTGTGTCGTGAAGAGGAGCGCCTTTGATGCCTATCTTGGTGCCTACATCCACTGCTGTGTGGTGTGGAGAGACCCCGAGACTCCTGCCCGGACAGCACCGATAACACCGGTAACCTCGCTGACGTCGAGGGTGATGGACGCAGGCTGCGAGTGGACCTGTTGCTGCATGCTGAACGAGGTAGAGAGCGGTCTTCGGAGTAAGAGCTGTGCTGTACCAGGGAAGCCTGTCAAGCACCCAGTGGCGGTTTGCCTCGGGACTGGGGGCTCGCCCTGGGCACCAGCAAGCTCAAAATGTCTCGAGTGGCCCGTAGAGCCTCCGGCGTTGATGGGATCCAGACCGCAGGAGAGGCGCATGTCGACACTGCCGGGCTACTTCACTCAGCAGGAGTCGGAGGTTTCGAGCCCGTGGGGAACCGAGGGATCCCCAACATGGGAGCAGCCTCTCCCCCTCCCTTCTCTCAGCGCCGTTGCGAAGTCAAGCTCTTCCTTTGCTTCTTGGAAGGGGAGCGGTGCCGACTGGGGGAGGGGGCTTCACTGCGCACCGACGATGCGGTGCCTGGCACTGAGTCCACTCGGTCTACTGGGGTTGGAGCCAGCACCGATTCCATGAGGAGAGCGTGAAGTCTGATGTCCCTCTCCTTCTTAGTTCACGGCTTAAAAGACCTGCAGATCTTGCAGCGTTCACTCACGTGAGTTTCGCCCAAGCAGTGGAGACACTCAGCATGCGGATCACTCCTGGCCATGGAACAGTGATAGGAGTTGCACGACTTGAAGCCTGGGGCACGGGGCATGCCCCGGGCCCACTCTAACTACTGAAAAACTTCTTCCTACAAGCTACTAACAACTAGCTAAATGTACCACTAAGATCAACTGGAAAGGCTGCAGCAGAGCTGGAGCAAGAAGTTCCGACGCACCTTCACTGGTGGCAAGAAGGAACTGAGGGTGGGGGGGAGTGTGCGGCTCCCCTTATAGCGCAATATAGAGGCGCCACTCTAGGGGTCGCAGCAGTGCTCCCCCCTATGGGTACTGCTAAGGGAAAAACTTCCGGCACTGGTGCACGTGGCAAGCACGCACACTTACTGTGGAATACACATGAGCAAGAACTCGAAGAAGAATACTTTCATAAAGAAACCTTATTTCTGTGGCTTGAGATATTTGCCTCATATTTCAACTATAGTGCATTTGGTTTGAGTTTGTCCAAAATCTCATTTAGGTCAATGCATGACAAGACAATCTAAATAAGACATCTTATATTCAAGATAATTAATCAATGATCATTAGACTAATTAAGATTCCTGACCTCATAATTCTAGATATTTCAGACTATAAACTCAATTTTTAAATGAAACCAAGAGACTAAAATGGAGGGGACTAGTGTCTGCAGCATGACACAGTTGCAAACTAATCCATTCTAAATATCTATTTCAACTTTAAATCTTTAATATTTTAAAAAATACATAGAACTCTTGACTTGTATTAAAAGAAGTCAATATGGCTTGTCTATATGGTGCAGCAATGCAGACCAGAAGGGTGTAAATAGAATAGCACTCTATAGTGTGGTGCTCTAACTGCCCTGCATAGATCCCACTGATGTGCTCAAAGGTTTCTAGTGCATGTGTTTGGGACTATATCAACATGCACTAGGTACCTTGTAGACCACGTCAGCAGAGTCTATAAGTGGCAGTTAGAGCGCAACACTTTAGAGCGCTCTACTATTTACACCTTCCTGGTGTGCCCTGTTGCACCATATAAACAAGCCCTATGACACTTAATATGAAAGTTCTTTCACAAAGAATTAGGTACTAAAGAAAACCATACAAAATTTAAGGTAATGCAATTATATCTGTCCTGTCAGATTCCTTTTACCTTTAGTTTCCTTCTTGCATTGAATTTCCTCAGTTGCTCTACTGTTTCTGGAAGATGAATCTTGTATGCATAGCGATCCCTCTCCTACAATAAAAAAAAACAAAACAAAAAACTCAAACTTCGCTCTGACAAAAAATATTAAAAATTGGCCAAGATATGCATTAGATACTAAATTATCACACAGCAAGTTAGGATTTGATTACACTGATGTAAACCAGGGGTTGGCAACCTTTGGCTTGCGGCCCATCAAGGTAATCTGCTGGTGGGTCACGAGACATTTTGTTTACGTCTGCGCCGCTTTCCGCAGCTCCCATTGGCCAGGAACGGCGAACTGCGGCCACTGAGAGCTGCACAGGGCCGTGCCTGCAAACGATCAACGTAAACAAAATGTCTCGCGGCCCGCCAGCGGATTACCCTGATGGGCCATGTGCCGAAGGTTGCCGACCCCTGATGTAAACATTAAGGAAATTTCTTATAGAAACCAAGATGGTTGGATTCCAGAATGGGAGAAAGACAGGTGATGTGTTGTCACTTCCTGTGGCTGAAATCTATTATCAGTTGGTAGAATATTAATGGAACAGATTCTGTAAATTGCTGGGTAAGAGTTTTTCCTAAAATGGCAAATTACAAAAGAATTCAAGTTAAATAACTTGGAACCCCCAATGTGAGCTGCTTCACTTAAGCTGGATTTTATTTTTACTTCCTGTACTTAGTAAGTTTTCGACAGCGACAAAAAGAAAACACACAATGTGAAAAAAAATTATGCAATCTATTCAATACCGGAGATTATAACTCCTAAAAGGCAGTGTCTTATAAAAATATATCTGATGCAAAGTTAGAGATAATGCAATTATTGCAAGTATGTTTGCTGCTCCCCATTCTTGTTAACAACATTCTTAAACACATAACACAATTTGAACACTTGAGCATCTAGTCAATTTAAAGCCATTAAATTGTATGTATTACTGAAAGGAGTGGAGAGACAATCTTATTGATCTCTTTCAGTTTTAAGATTAATTGGTTAAAATTTTAGTACACTACAGTAGCTTTAAGATGTTGGTCATTTCAACATTTAAATACACAAATAATTATATCAGTATTAACTGATCATATTTAAAATGGCTTGTGTCACTGCAGAATCCTTTCTTCATTACTATTAAGTTATCAAAGAATATTTGAATGTATCACCATATGTGTATATATATCTCCTCAATATATGTTCCATTCTATATGCATCCGAAGAAGTGGGCTGTAGTCCACGAAAGCTTATGCTCTAATAAATTTGTTAGTCTCTAAGGTGCCACAAGTACTCCTGTTCTTCTTTTTGCGGATACAGACTAACACGGCTGTTACTCTGAAACCTGTCACCATATAATATTACACTTCAGCTTTAATATAAGGAAAACAGATGTAGTGGCTCTGTAAAACATTAATATTAATTAAAAAATATACTCTGGAGAACCATATGATAGACAGCATCATCTCTCACAAATGACATTCACTACCACATTCATACTAATAATCTGTGTATATTGCATCCTGTCAATGACTCATGGCTATGTGGGGTTAATGAAATTTTGATTCAGGAAAGGAAGGCTGAGTTTAGCTTAGTAAGGCAGATATATGACCAGACTGAATTAGAGAATGCCAATAGCCACTTCAGGATTATGCTGGCTAGTATCTATTACAAACTCAATTTTGCTTCTTCTCGCCTGCCCAACCCTCTCACCCAACTTTAAGTTCACAAAATAAAGTTATATCAGCCTCAAAATGTGCAGGTTAGCACTAGGTAGGGCCAAGGTTACATTTTCCTGCCAAATTTGCAGGGATTTGGACAATAAAGCTCCTCAGTTATGATACCCTAGTGACAGACGCATTCACTAGAGTTAAAAAGTCTAACTTTCCTTTGGCCACACGACAGAAAACAAAACGCAAAATAGAAAGCAAGAGAGAAATAAAACTTTGTTAACCAGATTCTAACTAGTATCAATGCCCAGAACCAAAATTTATTAACTTCTGAATGTGGAATACTGCTATCGACCTCCAGCTCTGGTGAGTTTAGCACAGGACATCCTAGGGGCTGCTGGAGAGCTCTGCTTACATTCTCCCCAAGCTCCCACCTTTCTTTATAGAGATAGGCTTCAAAAACTCCTATCACTAGCAAGGTTTCTCAGTGGAAAAACATCTATTTTCATACCAGAAGGCTGATAAAAGCAGCTGCTGAGCCTTCTCAGGTCACCTGCAGGGGAAGGAGGAAGAGATGGAAGATAAAGCTTCTAAAATTCACATGGGATTCTATTATCTGGACTCCAGGAGGGCCATAGGAAGAAGTGGGAATGCTCCCCAAATCATCTTCCACACAGCACTACTCTACATCCCACAGTCCTCTTGAGGCACATATGGAGGCTCAATCCTGCAAGGTGTCGAGCACTCAGGCCCCAATCCAGTAAAGCACTTAAGCACATTTAAGTGTTTCTGTAACTTGATGGCTAATCAAAAGAGCAAAAAACCAACTCCATGTTTTTAAGGATATGAACTTTTGAGATGTTATGTTGTTGGCTTTATTTACCTTCAGCCAAGGATGATTCAGGGCCTCATAAACGGTTATCCTTTCAGCTGGGTCCAGCATAAGCATGCGGCGTACCAGATCTTTGGCACTTTCAGAGATATGGCTCCATTGCCTGGGATTCATCTGATTGTAAGAAAAAAAATTAAAGCAAGTGACAGAGTACAACAATTATAGGATACAGTTATTCTGTACAATGAGCAACTAAAGTATAAGGGTAGGTGACATTGGTACTATTGTCAATATTTTATTACTATGAATGTACACATAAGACTTGTGTACCATTGAAAAAATATAGATACATGCTAGTATGTGAAAACTAAAACACTACGTACAGTGCACGATGATTATACAACTGGTAATATGGTACCCATTTTTCCACCTACTTTTTTGCATGTAATGTTCCCTATAGATCAAATTCACCCTTCCCTGCACAAAGCAAAAGTAATCAGGCTTTGTCTGTGGAAATGAAATGGATGAAGGGACAAGTTTATGAGCTGCAGTGCAGCCACTCTACACCACAGTGAAGTGTTGAGCTGCTGGATCTGAATAAGAGGGAAATCAGTGGAGTTCCATGACCCCTCCCACCCTGTGGTTCTTAGGAATGCAGAGGACCTTGTGGACAACTGCTCCTTCCATAAGGCCAGTGTAAGGTTTAAAGGTTTCAGGAAACCTTTTCGCTATTTCCTTGCAAGGGTAGAATTTCATCCAGAATCATTGAGACAAAGAAATGTACACTTCAATGCCACTTTTAGAATCAGTTTCAGAGTAGAACCACACTAAGCAAGCAACAACATACAAGGCGATGTATAGTATAATCACACGTTTCAAGTGTGATCAGCTTTGTGCCTTCAGCTGTTCAAGAAGAGATGATTACCAATATAGGCACACTCAATTAAGTATCTTACTGTTGTTGTAAAACACTTTTTTCCCTGAGGCTCTCAGCCGCAGAGTAGACATACCCTGGTTAATTAATATAAAGAATACTACATATTATACGACTATCAAACTTTAGCAGGATTCTTACCATTTTGCTAATGTACTAAAGGTGTGATTTTGATGTATGCAAAGAAGAAATGAAATGAAAGGGCTTTAGCTCCTTCCTCATAATGACTCCATGATGTCGGAAAGTGTTATGAAACAAGTTTGTCCTCAAACACTGTAGTTTGTTATCAATTACAAGTAGCTCCTTAGTGAGTAATCAGTTATTTCATAGCTTACTATACAGTGTAATATGACAAAAGTATGATACCATTTGTACACTAAGATAACCACAAATATTTTTACTAAATTAATGAGATCATTCTTTAGCTATCACATTTAGCATTTAGAACTACAAACAAATGTGAGAAATTTTATAAAATGGAGGAATACATATACGAGTTTATGTATATATCAGTCATACAGATAACACAGAACATATAGTACATACTGAGGCCCTAATCACAAAAAACATTTATGCATGTAAGTAGTCTCCCTGAACTCATTGTAAGGTCAGGGTCCAATTTTGATGTTACTTTAGCTGCTTAATCTAGATAAATGATATGGTAATTTAAATGCCAGAGACTGTTAAACACATATACCATGGAAAAATGGATCAATAATGATATAAGTATCTCTATTTGCACATAGAGAGCTGTTTGTCTTGTGGAATGTTGCAAATTTCATTCAGGCTAATTAGCAGCCAAAATATAGAAAGCAACTTCCAGAAATTTTTACAGCAGTGTTTTACCTCAGTGAAAAAGTAATCATGCACACTGTCATTTACCTTATATTTTCCTTTAATAATGCCTTCAAATAATCTTTCCTTGGTTCCATAAAAAGGCAAACAACCACTTAGTAGAATAAAAAGGATCACTCCACAACCCCAAACATCTACAGGCTTCCCATAGGGTTCTCTTTTTACTACTTCTGGGGCCATAAAATGAGGTGTTCCTACACGTCCTAAATGGAAATACAAACAAAATTGAGTAAAGTGATGTGTTTCAAACATGAAAATAAAAGTGAATAGGAAAGAAATTAATCTGCATTAAACCGAAACAAACAGTTTTAATGGAAAGTTTTATTCACAGATTAAACTTTTTTTTTAAGACAATATTTTCCTTTTCTATAATCAGTATTTGTGAAATGTTCAGGATGGAGTAGTCATTAATTTCTCCGCTCCTTGGTTTACCCATCAATAAATTGGGTAAAATATTTACCTACCTTCATGTCATGTAATTAAAGGTTATTTAAAAAGGCTCTGAGATCCTTGGGTGAAATGTACTGTATAACAAGTATTTGACAGCCATGGAGAGCAAGGCTCTTCATTTATCCACAGAACAGGTACAACGGAAGACTGTTCCCACCTAAATACTTTACCAAAGTTTCTTAACTTTGATTTGTAGGAGTCACCTCTAGAGCTGAGATGGCTGTTCAGGCTCCATGTCCTTTGATACCCTTCAGCAAAAAGGCCATCAAACAGTGCCTAATGTTTTTGTGGTGTGGACATTGTCCCTGAAGAATTATATTGACAACACAAACTCGCATCAGATGCGAATGTTTTGGGGGCAGGTTTTGAATTAGTCATTAAACAGAGGACCATGCAAACAATTATTTTTATGATCAATGCCCTTGAACTTTCAAGGGAGTAAAAACAAGCTTTTTTTTAGTATTACTTTTGCTCAATTACTAACTGACATGTTAAACTGAACAAATATAATAAAAGTCATTTTATCGCCCTCTATACATTCATCCCCAAATGGTCCCTGTTGCAAAGGAACTACAGAAGAATTGCAAATGTAATTTTCCAGCAATACGAGCTTTGTCTGTACTACATGAGCAGCCTTAGGACTTCACAGCCACTTATGGTAACATCTGGGGAAAATCACAAATCTGGCTAACAGCTGCTACCATCATCACTGGATCTAGCATCATTTATGCGCCCAGACTCGACAATGGTACTGCCCAAAAGCCTGAGTCAGGCCCACAGTGCTGGGTACTGTACAAATTCAGATGAAAAGATGCTCTCTGCCCTACAGGGATTATAACCTAAAGGACTCAACTGCTATCACCATTTAATGCTACCACTATTCAAAGTTGCCTCGCAGAAAGACTTCTGCTGGACTGCTTTTTCCTGGGCACCACAAGGCGACAAAACACCAGGAATATGCTTTCACTTGGTTGTACAATTTTATAAAGTTTACAAATTGAGAACTATCTGGCAATAACTTGTCCAGGGCAGGTCATCCTTCCTTTGTAATCCATCTATCTTGTAGTGGCAGGTTGCCCCTGCTCCCTGTAATTTGGTCCCAGCACCACTGGTGGGACTTCGCCACTCTCCCTTTGTATGAGGGCTAAGGGGTGGGGAAGAGGGGGTTGTTTCCTCACTGTCTCAGATTTTAGGAACCCCAACCCACCTTCTATAAATGCCTTCTTCTAATCCATTTCCAATTCCGATTCCGATCAATCAGGGAACTGGAGCCCCAACTGAATGATTACGTGCACTGGGCATGTGCTAATTTGTAATGAAATTAATTTTACAATCTTACCTATCCACCAGGTCCCCAGGCCACTGAGAGAAAGGTGAAAAAAAACACCTTGCCCAGGCCAATGTGGTACTGAGGGAAAAATTCAATTATGAACCCCAAAAAGGAGACTAGTGCTCACAACAAAGCCCAGAAACTGAGTCCTACTCTAATCCCAATGGGAGGGAGAGGGGAAGCTTTCCTCCCAGTGCAGACTGGTGCTTCAGAGCAGGAGGAAAAGGCTTTTAAACCCTCCCTTGAGGTACCTGGGAGCCGAAAAGACTTATCCTGCACCCATCTGCCAAACCAATCAGCAACAGATCCTCCATCCTCTAGACCACAAGGAGGGGAGGGTTATGTGGAATCCTTCAAAGGGTCAAGGGTTTTCTTTCCTCTGATGGCTCAGACTAAGCCACCCCACCTCTGAGGCGGGGCATTTATGGAGTCGAAGATTACCAACTTGCTTAGAATCATATGATTTTTTTCCAAGTGCCTACAGATCCATGTAGAGGATATCAATGCTAGTAGTAACACTGCTTATAAGAGAGTCTCCTTCAGCTTAATGGTAGAGCTACTTGAATGAGGAGGTTACTTACCTGTAACTGGAGGTTCTTCGAGATTTGTGGTCCCTATCTATAGGCCACTGAGAGCTTTATGCATGCGCACCATGTGTCCAGAGCCAGAGAATTTGAAAGTAGTGTCCATTGATCCGTGCATGCTCCCTGACTCATGGTTTCGTTCAAGGTGATGAAGTGTGGGTCAGACTGATTGTACCTCCAATTCCTTCTCCACCACAAATCCAGAGGGGAAGGAGGGCGGGAAGTGGAAAACAAATAGAAGAACCTCTAGTTACATCTCAAAGAACCTCTAGTTAGAGTAAGTAACCTCCTCCACTTCTTCGAGCCTTCGTCTTTGTGCCCCCGTTTGTTGATGTAGCCAACAGGCATGGTGTTGTCTGACATGATGAGAATATGAAGCCCAGGAGGAATAGACTAGTCCAGGCCATGACTAAAGGATTCTTAGCTACGTGAGTTATGAGTTCTTGCGGAATCTGGAACCTGTCCCTTGGTTGGTAGGCTCGTGATCTGACTGAGTTGATGGTGGCCCCTATAAAGTCTAGGCATTGTCTGGGGTTTTTTGGTCCGTTTTTGACATTGATACTGACTCTGAGGGGAAAAAGGAGGCCAAGCAACATGGAAATTGAAAGATGCTGCCTGACTTTTTGTCTCATTTTGTTTTAGGTTAAATAAAGTCAATTCACTTGTATATTCTCAATATCAAACCTCATCTTTTGCGTTTCTTTAATTATGACCTCATAAAAATATTCAACAGTATCCTGCAATTACAAGAAAGTACTAGTATATATTCTTTCAGCATTTTTTCCACTTAACCAAACAAAATATTTAAGTTTATAGTGGTTAACACCCTAAACAAAAAAATCCCAAAGCTATTTACACATTCTGATCAATACACTTAGCACGACAAAAAAAAAAAAAAAAAAAAAGACCAAAACCTGAAATTATTATCTAGAAACATTTTGAGTATGTACTTGAAACTGATGTACTAATCAGCTTCCTTATTTTTTCTAAAGGAAGTGTTACAATTCTCGGGTAACAGTTTCTAAATGGTTCCCCTTCTCTTCCTAATTATAGTTAGCATGTACACACACACACACACACACACAAAACGCATGTACACAGCTACTGTATAACAACAAACAAGACAAATATAAAACAAATGTAAAACTTTATAGTTGTCAGAACTGCAGCTGCAACCATGATATGCAAGGTTTTTTTTAAGTGTAGTACCCACCCATTTTGCTAATATTAATTTCAGTATTAACAAGTGACTTCAAATGGTAGTAGACAAGTAGTCAAACTTATTGGGTTTTATTCCCTACCCTGTTTTCACTGACTTGCTATGTGGCCGTGGACAAAGTCATAATGTTCAGTGTCTCAGTTTCCTCATCTTCACAATGGGCACATCAGTAATTCCCTATTATACAGGGATATTGTGAACTATTTTGTTCAGCACTTTGAGGTAACTGGATGAAAGATGTTAGCTAAGTACTATGTACTTACATAAAACAGAAAGAAAAAAGTTTTTATTGAAATGGGAGCTACATAAATTAATTTTAGAACTTGACAGAAAAGACTGCATCCTTGAGCAGCTCAGAAAATTGGCTATTGTATCAGCTCATGTCATTGCTGACCTGAAAAGGAACCTGGCAAAGAGCAGCCAGGAGAAAGCCCCCAGTGCAAATAACAAATCTCTTTATTTGTTTCAGCAAACTGTTTTGGTTTAAGAGCCTTCAAGAATCTAGGGACCATATAGCTGTTTTATGATTACATACTTCACCCTATACTTAAGAACACACACTAAACAAATGGCAACCTGATTGACTGTGACATTTAAGCTGGAAGGCAGGAAAAAAATAACATGAATTTTAGCAACTCTATGTAACAGAGTTAAAATTGTGTGCGTGGGGCAACTTGCATTTCCCCTGTGAGGCTACAATTGTTCTGGTCCTCATCAGAAAAGGAAATGAAACTAATGAGGTTATGTTTCAAAAGTTAGGTCTTCCACATTGCCTCACAGTGTTGCTGCTATGTCAGCAAAAGCAGATTAAACAAACTGTATACCATACAAAACACCTTTTAAAGTTGAAACTTCAAAGGTTATGTGCTGAATGCCCTAAAAAGGGTAAAGGACACTTCAATACACTTATGATATTTGCTAACTTCTTTTTTTCAAGTCAGCAAGCTGCTACCCTCCCCACCATATTTAATGTGGTAAAATGCTGCAGCTCCTTTTCTGGTGATGTCATACCTATAGTTTACATTTAATAGCCCTGGAGAAAGAAGGTTGCCTAGGTAGTAAACAAGTCCCTTTCCAAATATCACATCTTTAAATAAAATAATTTCTGGTTTTATAGACTCCAATATAGAAGGATTTTTTTCCAATAAAACAATCTTCACACTAGGGTCCCTCCTGTTTCCTCTCTAAATGAAACAGTCTCTTAGGCCCTCAGGAGTCTTTGTTCCTTTGTAGACACCAGATAACTCCCTTTCTTCCTTCTGATGCACAAGGAACTCTTTCATCCAATAACCAGGCTGAGCCCTCCTCCATTTTTTCCCAATGAACTGATGTAAATGTAAGAAAAACACGGTATTTTATTTTATTTTCTATTATTCCTCACATCCAGGAAATAAACATAAGAAAATGTTTTTTATTTTAAAACAATTATAAAAAAGAAGAATGTAAGGAGTTCTCAGAGCCTCGATATATAAATAACCTGGTAACCCTAAAGGTTAGTTGTGCTATACACAACTTAGTTGATACACCTCTACCCCAATATAACGCGGTCCTTGGGAGCCAAAAATCCCTATCGCGTTATAGGTGAAACCCCGTTATATCGGAGTAGCGGCGGCAGGGCTC